ATCATCATCATCATCAGCACCAAAATCATCATCGCGGTCATCATCATCGTCGTCAACATCAATTTCATCATCACCATCGTCAGCATCATCATCGTCGCCAACATCATCATCATCATCCCTAGCATCATAGCTATCGTCCTCGTTGTTTTCGTCGTCACCATCAGCAACACTGACGTCATCATCATCGTCGTCATCGTCATAGTCATAATTATCACCATCACGATCATCAACATCATGATCATCATCCTCATCACCATCATCATCATCTTCAACCTCGACGTCTCCTTCATGGTCATCGTCATCATCTTTATCATTGTCGTCGTCGTCGTCACCATCATATTCATCATCATCATCGTCGTCACCATCATCAACATCACCATCACTATCACCACAATCCTCACCATCATCATGATCATCAAACTCCTCGTCGTCGACGTCAACATCATAACCATCACCATAATCATCATCATCCTTATCATCATCATCTTCACCATCATCATCACAATCATCATCGTCATCACTGTCATCATTCTCATCATCAGCATCAAAATCATCGTCCTCATCATCATTATCACCACCATAATCACCATCTCCGTTGTTGTCACCATCATCATCTTCATCATCTTTTTACTGTACTCGTCTACTTCACAGTCATCATTATCATCATAATCATCGACATCATCATCAGCACCAAAATCAACATCAGGATCATCATCATCATCGTCGTCGAAATCGATATTATCGTCATCATCTTTAGCATCATCATCATCATCACCATCATGACAGCAATATCGTCATCATCAGCACAATCATCTCCATCATCGTCGTCGTCGTTTTCACCATCATCCTCATCACCACCATCATCACAATCATCGTCATAAACCTCATCATCATCGTAGTCATCGTCATCCCCACCAGCATTATCATCACCATAACCAGCATAGTTATGTAGAACCGTCGTCATCATCGTCATCCTCATCATCATCATCCTTGACGTCTTCGTCGTCAATATGGTCATCATCATCACCGTCGCCGTCCTTATCATCATCATCATCGTCGTCGCCGACGCCACCATTGTCACCGTCATCAACACAATCAGCATAATCAGCATCATCATCGTCGTCGTCGTCGTCACGATCATCATCATCGTCACCACCATTATCCATGTCGACATCATCATCAACATCATGATCATCACCATCGTTGTCGTTTTCACCATCATCCTCATCATCATCATCAACGTCTTCATCAACATGGATATCATCATCGTCAGCATCATCCCTATCATCATCTTTGTCATCATCGTCACCATCAGCAAGACTTACATCATCGCCGTCGTCGTCTTCGTCATCATCATCATCGTCGTCGTCATCATTGTGGTCATCATCATCACCATCATCAAAATCATCATCATCATCATCGTCATCGCCGTCACCTGCATCAGCATTGTCGTCGTCGTCGTCACCATCATAATCATCATCATCATCATCAACATCGTCATTATCACTATTTTCGACGTCGTCATCATCATCAACATCATCATCACCATTATCCTCATCGCCATTATCAGGTTCATCAGCGCCATCAGCTTAATTCTCACCAATATCGGCATCATCATCCATGTTGCCTTTGTCACCATCATCACCATCATTGCTATCATCATCATCATCATCAGCATCACCATGATCATCATCCCGAAGAAGAAGATGCGATCACTGGAACAAGGACTTTATTTTCCTGACG